ACTGTTTTTTATTTTCACATACTCCTTTTTGCTTTCAAGGTCTTACTCTTTTTATTTACTAAAATTCTGTCTTGTTAGAGTGTGAAGTACAAAACTTGGAAATAAATCTGTTTTCTTAGATATGCACAGCTAGGCTGTAGCTAACTAATCAATAGCTTTGAGATTTGAAAGGCAGTTTTATAAGAGTGTTTTAAATTGCTTCAGATTAACTAGTATGAAAAGCACTTCCCACTAGAACTGTGAAAAACAAAATTGAAATCAAAAGCAGTACCTCCTGATTACTTTAATAAGGACGGTTTAGTGCTGTCTGCTTTCAGGAGACAGTTTGCTTTGCAGCTTCCCATTTCTTGTTCGTGCTTTTTTTCTTCTGTTCTTGTATTTACTTATCTGCGTCTGCTAGTCTAACAAAAGAGTTCAAAAGGAAACTAAAGGAAGGAGCACTAAATTGCAGTGGCTTCCAACTTTTTCAGTGACTCTACACCTTGAATTTTAAATACGCTTAAAACGCAGGTATCCAGAAATAATAAAGCAGTTTATAGCGTTTTTTTTTTCCCCAAGAAATAATTATGTAAGTGCTTGAAAATAAGTTTATCGAATGGTGAAAAATCCAAGTTTTTCGAAAGACCTAAAAATATCACTTCCAAAAAATGTACTTTTCTATTAGCTGAAGCACCAAGCAGAGCAGGAGCAACAAGTGTGTTGTGACCTCAGAGGCAGCAGTGTGAGGTTCTTTGCTAACTAACTGTGCTGCCTGCATCTCCTAGTGTGGAGAGTACTGCTTTACGGCTGATCACGGCTCTGGGCAGCTCCGAGGTGCAGCCCCAGTTCACACGGTTCCTCAGTGACCCTAAGACGGTGCTTTCGGCGGAATCAGAAGAACTCAACAGGGCTCTGATCTTGACACTAGCGAGAGCGACGCATGTGACAGGTAAGCGTGGCGTTTGGGGAGCGTGCAGGAAAGGCCTAGCCAAGCCCTTTCTCTAACGATCAGTTTAATGGAGAGGCCTGGAGATGCCCCTGTAATAGAACATTTTGCATGAATTTCTCTTTTTGAAGTCTAATCTGATTTTATTTCAAAATATTGGCAGTATTTTTAGGCAAATACGTTATTATTCAAGTAGTACCAAAGTCAGAAGTGGCTTAAAAATTGATCTAGAACACCAATGCAGTATAACTAGCTTTTTCTCAGTATCTTCCATTTCCAGCTTTGTTATTTAAGTGAGCCAATTTACTGGTAGATGCCGTATAACTAGCTTTTTCTCAGTATCTTCTATTTCCAGTTTTGTTATTTAAGTTATTTTGTTATATAATAACATGGAATGTTCAGCACAAGTATGTTGCTGATGCAGAAGCCATCTCCTCTTTATAGCTTATCTTTAAGAAAACATGGTCTAAGTTAGGGGTTTATTTTGTTGGGGAAGGGAATAAAGTATTTTCAGCATATTTAAGTGTATTTTAATGTTTAAGAAATTTGCAGTGGCAGAAGTCATGTTTTTATTAGCATTCAGAGAGATTATTTTCTGTTTCCTTCATTTACACTGGAAATCCAGTTCTAATCTGGAGAGTCTCTGAAGAATTAGAGCAACTTGGCATCAGAAAAATAGATAAAAATTAAAAGGGAAGAGTCATTTTAGGATTTTTTTTTCCTTTTTTGTTTAATCTTTGTTCAACCTTCAATGTTACATCAGAATTTTTGGTGGATGAGGAGGATGGGGACTTGTGTTTTTGTGTGTGGTGTTGAGAGAGTTGTATTTGTGTTTAATTTTTTGGCTTAATTGGAAAGATATTGCTGAGCACTCTTCTTAAAGCAGGTCTGTGCAAGTGGCATCTGGCAATTTCATGATGATTAGCTTCCCCGGGGGTTTTAAAATTAGGTCTGATCAATTCATCAGCAAAAGCTTGTCTTATTTGTATTACAGGAAATTAAATGTAAAACCTTAAAATTGTCCTTGATTGATTTCCAGCTGAAAACCTAAAAATAATTTCATTATTGCCAACACCATGAATAAGATACCGTGCAGCTTGTTCTACAGCACAAATAAGGCTCAAAGAAAGGGGGTGGGGGAAGTTGGTCATAAAGATAATCATTTTGAACTAGCAAAATCTCTATCCATGTGACTACAAAAGGAATACCAGTAAGAAATATCTTTGGATTTATGATACTAGGTTTTCTTACCATTGTGTTTCATTCATGTTGAATGTTGTTTTAGATTTTTTCACAGGTTCTGATTCAATTCAGGGAACTTGGTGCAAGGACATATTGCAGACTATCATGAGTTTTACTCCCCATAACTGGGCGTCACACACACTGAGCTGTTTTCCAGCTCCTTTGCAGGTAATAGTTTAAAAGTGCCATTTTTCTAACTAGAAACATGGAGAATTTGTGCTCTTAGCAGAATCCTGTGCCTTTTGTTAGGATTCTTCTGTCTGGAATACTTTAATCTCAGTTCAATAAAGAAAAGGATATGATTTTAACACTGATATTTTGTCAAAAATCTATTATGCTTCTGGAATATCCTAGGGTCAATTTTTGGCCTACTGATGCTACCAGTAAGAGGTAAATTGGATTTAGAAGAAAAAAAAATTAAAAAGAATTAAAAAAAAGAATTATAGCAAACTCTTCCTCCATCATGGCAACTTGTCACATAATGTACTGACAAGGCATTCACTGTCATGTCACAGTGGAGCAATGACCCTATCTAGTATTTTGCTTGTTTGTTGTATTGCAAGCAGAAGTCAATAATCGTAAGGTGCCCTAACGAAGTCAGGGTGTAAAGCTTGCATATTCTAAATTTACAGCTATTGTCCGTAACAAAGCCTACTCTTTCAGGTATTCTTCAAACAGAATAATGTGCCCCAGGAAAGCCGTTTTAACCTGAAAAAGAATGTGGAAGAAGAGTATCGAAAGTGGAAGTCTATGACCAACGAGAATGACATAATCGCCCACTTCTCTGTGCAAGGCTCACCCCCACTTTTCCTGTGTCTCCTGTGGAAGATGTTGTTAGAGACCGATCACATCAATCAGATTGGTTACAGGTAAGCTTGAAACACCTGCCATTTCAAAGGCATCACAGCAAATAATCTTGGGGTTTGAGAACCTACGGCTTGCAGTTTAGATCTGTATGGTTTGTACTCGTTTCTTAAAGGCAATTCAGGGAGCGGAAAAAGAAGGGGAGCTAGATATTAGCATATCCTAGTAATAGACCAGTATTTAAGACTGCATCTACATCCAAGCATCTCTTGGATGTAGATATTTTATCATGTAGAAGTCAGCAATAAATATTCCTCCTGGTGAGAAAATTACAGACAGGGATACCAGCTATTTAAGTGGTTTACTTGTAATGAAACATTATTTCATACAATTGCAACCAGCAATCAAAAATATAAAGCATATATCTACTATTTTTTGTTGTTGCTAATAAAGACTGAATATTAAACAAAATTCCTGTGCTGGATTAAGCTGAAAGTTATTTTAGAAGCCATAGTACTGAGATTATCTGTACTTGTTCTCAGTAGTGAAAACTTCATCTCCACGCTAATGAAAAACAGATTATTCCTTTTTCAGGCCTCATAAGGTCTGTCTGTCTGAAACAATTTTATTTGTGGAAAATGTGGTAGTCTTCTGTGCGGTAAGGAAAAAACAAGTTTTAATGCTGTGTTTATATTAAAACACACACTGCAGAAGAATAATAGCAAGTTGCAGAAGACTCTCCAGGGAGGTTTATGATTGACAAATACAGTAATACCTGTAACATGGGTAACACGTGGAGTCTGAGCAGAACATTACCCATATGTTTGGGAACTTGAAGGATTTCATCTAATTGATATCCATACGTTAGTATTGTGCTTGCTGGAGTGAGTTTGTTTCAAGAAAAATTTTGTACAAAACCTACTCAGTCTTGTAAAACAGACAAATTAGAAATGTATAAAGGATAATAAAAATTCTTCATTGTTCGTCAAGCATGTTCACACAAGTAGGAAACAGAGACTTTTTATTCTCTTCCTTTCTGTCTGTTAGAGTTTTGGAAAGAATTGGAGCCCGAGCTTTAGTGGCACATGTCAGGACGTTTGCAGATTTCTTGGTGTATGAATTCTCTACCTCAGCAGGAGGCCAGCAGCTCAACAAATGTATTGAGATACTCAATGATATGGTGTGGAAATACAATATTGTAACACTGGATAGGTTGATACTGTGTTTGGTAAGTATTGCCTTAAAAGTTAAGAAGCAATAGGTTACTTCAAGCAATACTTGGTCATTAATTCCCAGGTCAGTTTTGTAGGAACCATCTTTTCAAAGATGCATTGACTTTTTTTAAATTATTTTTATTTTTTCAATAGTAACTATTTGCTAATACAAGAGTCAAGTAAAATAATGGATTGTTTCAATAAGGGACAGAAAATTCTTGACCCTGAATTTTCAGGGAAAGCTTTATCTGGTTCTCTAATGTCAACCACTAAATTGGCATTATTAGAAATTATTGTTAGTGCTGTGGCTCTTTTTGATCTCAGACTTATTCAATCCTATCCGCAAGGGGTATGGCATAACATTATTTGGAAACAAATGTACCTACTAGAGACTGTTGTCTCTGCTTAAAAGTTCAGCCTGCCCTTGCAAAATAATGAAGTTATCCAAGTAATTAATATTGCTTGAGTATTATCCTTTACTTATATTTTAAAATCTCTTCCTAACAACACGAAGCTGTTTTGAATTTAGTTTGTGGGTTTTTTTGTTTATTTTTCAAACTGAAGTCCAAACAAGTTAAAGGGTGCAGGCTTGGTTCCCTCATCGTTAATGGGTTTTTCTATGGAGAGATCGACGTGCTGAAGAGAACTGGAGTTCTTGAACAACTTGTCACTCAGAATTTTGTGAGACTTTCTGCGTGGGGATTAGATAATGGGATAGATGCTTTCCAAAGCAGGTGGTGAAGCTTGCTTTTGTTCTGTGTCTTCACAGACAAAATACAGTTGAGAGACCCTATGTTCGGTGTGAATTTGTGTGTAGACATGTCTGATGTGCTGCCAGATTGCCTGGCCAGTTTTTTAGTGGTTATAAAGCAGACAGTAGCATCAGCTGTAATCCTGTGTTTTCTGTGTCTCTTTATTTAAAGGCTATGCGTAGTCACGAGGGAAATGAAGCCCAAGTCTGTTACTTTATAATTCAGTTACTTTTACTGAAGCCTAACGACTTCAGAAACAGAGTGAGTGATTTTGTGAAGGAGAATTCTCCAGAGCACTGGCTGCAGAATGACTGGCATACTAAGCATATGAGTTATCACAAGGTAACAAAGCTAACTTCTTAAATTACTGTTATACTTCCTGTGGAGTTCAGATTAGCCAAAGAATATTTTGTTTTTAAAATTATAGGACTGCTCTGAAAACTTTTTGGAGTTACTTCTAGCAATTTGTTTGTACTAGAATGAAATTTCATATGTTTACAGAACACCATGAAATTAATAATACAATAATATTCAAAAATAGAAGCAGCTGAAGTTTGGTTAGGGATTCTTGATCATCTAAATCCAGTTGCTTTTAATAGCTACAGTTTACTAAAATTCACTTATTTTCTTTGTGTACCAGGGAATATACCCTTTTGGTATTTATAACTAGGTGTAATTATTGACACATTTTCTCTTAAATGCTTGGGTGGGGCTCGGGTGTGCATTAGTGCTGGTGGTCAGGTTCAGCATGTGATGCAGAGCACTTCAGAAGGGTCAAGTTTCCCCTAGGTTCCCTCCTAAAGCGTTTGGCAGACAGTGATGGTTATGAGTGCGTCTTTTTAAAGCAATGCAGGTACTGAGCGTTTAACATAATGATTTTAAAGAAAGAGCTTTTGATTTAGTTGTTGTTTTCCCCCCAGAAATATCCTGAAAAGCTATATTTTGAAGGCTTGGCAGAGCAAGTCAACCCACCTGTTCAGATCCAGCCTCAGTACCTACCCATTTATTTTGGAAATGTATGCCTGCGCTTTCTGCCAGTGTTTGACATCGTAATCCATAGATTTCTGGAACTGCTTCCAGTGTCCAAATCATTAGAAACTTTATTGGATCATCTGGGAGGTTTATACAAATTCCATGGTGAGTAACCTATGGATGTAAAATCTTTATTTCTGTTGTGAATTATTCTGTTCTCTTTTTTACAATGTTATTATTATGTTATTAAGAAAATACTACAGGCATTAAATACTAGGCTTTGTTAGCTAGCTGACTGCTGGCCACAACCACAGTCTGCTAGCACAGCTGTGTGGAATCCTTTCCACTTTTGTGAGCCCTATTCTCATCTGAACATAGAGGCACGGTCCCTGTTTAATGAACTTTAGCCTGCCGATAATAAAGTTGCCTTTATTCAGGTTTCTTCTGCTCTTTCATTCCTCCTTTACACGTTTCCTTCACTCTGTTCCAGTAGGAGTGCAGGAGCCTTCCCTGTACTAGCATTCGTGAGACCCAGAGGAAGCAGTTAAAAATACCATTTTCCCTACCTATTGCTTTTTTTACCAGAAAGTTCAAAAAAATGTGTGTGTGATTTGGAGGGGATTTCTTTTTAATTATTTTTAACACTTCTATCACTGCATCTGCTATAGGCGACAATGCTAAAACTCTGAGCATAACAGAGCAATATTGTTTCTTTATAATCATCTTATACCTGTTTGCTTTCTATTTATTGCCTCTTAAATGAAGAGATGATGTAGAATTATTATGAATGATAGCATTATCATAATATACATAAACAGGTGGCAATATAGATTTTCTTTAAGCACTGCTAGCCCTTCCTACATATATTAAAGTAACAAGACAAAGGAAAATTGATGTGTAATTTCTTCTTATAAAATTTTATTTAACACTGATCGAACACTAATTGGTTCCCTTGGCACAGTTTTAAAATAGACACAACATAGTTGTGTAGAGCTCTTGATTGCTTTTGGTGTTTCCCACCATAACAGTGATGCTGGAGGATATTTCTGCAGATTTTTTGTTTGCTCATTCTTTGTTCATGGGTTTTCTTGACAGATCGCCCAGTGACTTACCTGTACAACACTCTTCACTACTACGAGAGGCACCTCCGAGAGCGCACGAACCTCAAGAGGAAGCTGGTCCATGCCATCATAGGCTCCCTCAAAGACAATCGTCCCCTGGGCTGGTGTCTGAGTGACACTTATCTCAAATGTGCCATGAATGCCCGGGAAGACAATCCATGGATTCCTGATGATGCCTACTATTGTAAACTCATCGGAAGACTAGTAGACAATATCCTTCTTAAAAAAAAAAAAAAAAAAAAAAAAAAGTATTAAGGTGTGTCAACATCTCGCAGCTTCATTCCATCCAAACATAAAGTTCAGTTGCCATCTGTTCAATATGCAGTAGAGGTTTTGTTGTTGTTGTTGAATCTGTCAGGCTAAATTCATGTTTAGTTTCAGTATATTTGTACCATATGGTTTGTTGCTAGAGGTCTGAAGAAAGTCAAATCAGCGAATTAGGTAAGCAGACAGATCTGATTTGAGTTGATAATGAAGTATTACTGATGGTGGCTTTTGCCATTACAGAGCAGTTTCTTGTAATCTGAGAAATTATTTGGAAGCTGAAAATAAACTGCATTTTTTCTTTATATTTCATTATTTTTCAGAGAGACTGTGCTCTCCTAGTTAAAATTCTTGAAAGATACAGTTATAGCAAATACATATAATACAGCTACATAAATATTCCAGTTTAATGCCTCACTTTAAAATACAAATACTGATATTTATGCATTCCAAATTTAATTTTAATTCCCACATAAAAGTTAAATAATGATCTTAAAAATGAGATTGCTTTTTTTCCTAATGCTGTTACCAAGAATAAACAGAACTAGTGGAGTTTCCCTGATGGTCTTCTCTTCAGGCCAACCCTAATGAAGTTGGCTCTTCCTTCACTGCTTATTCCACAATTTGCCTTTCTTTTACGTGTGGCTTGGAAGGAGTTCATTAATCTCCTCGAGGAAAGCATTAGTTAACTATTCTGCTTCTGTGGAGACACTGGATGTGTTAGGAGCTCTTTTCTAGATGTAGCATGCACATATCTTGTTCTGGAAAGCAGAGAATTTTCAAAGACTAGGCAGTTGTATGAAGTTTCATGTTGCATGAAGTGAGCATGAATTCTGCTGGGCAGCTTCTTACTGAAGCAAATTAATGCTTTCAGATTATGCAGAACAGAAAATCCTCGTCATTTTTGTTGTCTCATCATTTTTGTTGTGTTGATTTGGAAGCATATGGTAAATGGGACGTTTGGTGGTGTTTTCCACTTGATCAGGAAAATATATCCCTTGCATGACTCATCATGTGCAGTATATCCATAGTATATCCATATATACATTTGTTATGTACTTATGTAGTCCTTTTGTGTTTCTTGGTGTCCGAGTACCTTTTCTTGCCTTATGATGATACTTTTTTCCATATGTCTTAGTTTCATGAGCTGTGGTTGTTATTCTGCTTATCTTTCACTTCAGTTTAATTTTATATGTGGGGTATATACATACACTTTAAAGCAGTTCGTTTTTACCAGTCGTTAATAGGACAGATTCTTTTCCTTAATCATTGTCACCTATGGCAGGCAAATCACCTGGTCCATTCCCAAATTGTGACTGGAGATTCAATGAATTTCCTAACCCAGCTGCCCATGCTCTGCATGTTACCTGTGTTGAACTCATGGCCCTGGCTGTTCCAGGGAAGGATGTGGGCAATGAACTACTAAATGTTGTGCTGAAGAGGTATGTTGTCTCTCTGAAACTGTTTCTGCAAGATCTAATACATCACTTACAGCTAAGGTAGTCTATTACCATCGTTTTCTTTATTTGTTTTAATAAAACTTCAAGTATCAGTATGTTTAAAAAAAAAAATTAAAGGTATTTTTGAAGGACAAACAGGGTTTTAGGGATCAAGCAGTGTGTTGGACTCTCATATCATGGGAGAAAGCATTGTGTCTACTTCTGAAGAACAGTTGTTCTTCATGATCCTGTTGAAGAAATGAAGGGAACATCTCACACTGGGTGGTGACTTCTCCATTGGGTTCAGTGGCACCAAGGCTGGGAAAGAGCTGGTCTTCCGTGCAGGGTAGGGAGACTTCATGAGCTTTTATCATAAGATCTTTGAGTACCAAGAAGGAGATGGGCTAGGAAAGATGGGCAGTGCTCTGGACCCTCCTGATACTAATATAAACCTTTGAAGAACATGTGCTACAAAACCAAAATCCTTTCTGAACAAAGTTTTGCCAGCTATGTCAGTGTCTCTGTATTGCAGTCTCAGCTTCTCAAGGAGTATTCTCTGTACAAATATGCCTTCTTTTTAAGTATGGCAAAAGAACAGATTGCATTTGTGAATTTCAGGATTTGCATCTTTCTTTCTTTTTTTCTTTTTATTTTTTTCCTGTCTGTAGTCAGCCCCTGGTGCCAAGGGAGAATATCACAGCTTGGATGAACGCTATTGGACTAATTATCACAGCCTTACCAGTGAGTCCATGTATCTTTAGTTATTTTTATTAATCTTCTTCAAAATTAGGGTATGTTGTAAGAATTTTTGCAGTTTGGAGTGTGAGAGGCAGCATCTGTACATTGTTCAGTAAGCCCCTCTGAAGGCCATTTGTGTATTGAAAAACACCTTTGCTCTCCTACCATTGACATTACAGCCATATTTTATTATTTTTCTATTATGTTTTGAGACTACGGGTGAAAAGAAGTAAAACATTCCTTTTGAAAACATGGTTAAATGCATAGTATCAAGAGTAAGCAATGAAATGAGAACATCCATATTTCTGATGCAAAGCTCATTTTGCATTAGCACTTGCATATCCTCTGTCTCTTAAAACGTACACAAGATGTGACTAAGACTGCGCGAGCAAATGCGTGAATGTTAAAGTTCATATTTTTGTAGTAGCTTTGATCTTCTGGACATACTGACTCAATAGCTATTTCCATTCAACATCAGGACTGTCTAATAACTTTGTTCTTGTTTTCTTATAGATTACTTATAACAGGTTCTTACACTTTCCCTGTAGCTTCTTTCCTTCACTAAAATGGCTCACTTCCTGTTATTTTTGATAGACTTCTTTATTTGTCCTGCCTGCTCCTCTCCTTGCATCTTCGTCTCTGTTGTAAATGTAAATTTATTAAGTATGTCCTGATAACGCCACTCCTTCTCATGATATGGAGGTGTCATGTATTGTCCTCCTTAAGAATGATGCTTGCTAGGCAGGGTTATAAAATATCATGTAGCTGAGAATATTTTGTAAATACAACAGTGGGTAAGAGATGAGAAAGCACTGTCTTAGGTGCTCTTCTTTCCAGCAATAATCCAGGCCTTTGTTTTTCCCAGGAGCCATACTGGATTGTTCTCCATGATTGCATCGTGAACGTTATCAACAGTCCCAGCTTGACGTCAGAGACAGAGTGGGTTGGTTACCCCTTCCAGCTTTTTGATTTCACAGCGTGTCACCAATCCTACTCCGAGATGAGCTGTAGCTACACTTTGGCTTTGGCGCATGCTGTCTGGCATCATTCCAGCATTGGACAACTTTCCCTCATTCCCAAGTAGGTGTAGATATTTGATTATTTGTTTTGTTTTGGTTTAGAATTCCATGCGTATTCCACAGCTCTTCCCTAAAGATGTGTTCCTGTCAAATAGTGACTCTAGTTTTAATGCCAGTGTTAAAACTTGAGGGCACTGCTTTCCGATTGTGCGTGGCGTCCTGCTGAGCAGGACTGAGACCGTGTGTCTCCTTGGGACAAGGGGGTGTTTTCCAGTCCAGTCTTCCAGAGTTCTGCTGAAATAACTCATTTGCTAAATTGCACTGTATTTTCTAAAATAAATGCCCAGACCTTTGAGAACACGAGATGTTTTAGGTAGAGTTTGGAGTAGGGGAATTCCCGTGTAAGTAATGAGTGTCTTGAAAAACTGCAGGTTCCTCACAGAAGTACTGATACCCATAGTGAAAACGGAGTTCCAGTTACTCTATGTTTACCACCTTGTTGGGCCTTTTCTACAACGGTTCCAGCAGGAGAGGACACGATGCATGATAGAGGTAGGGTGTATCCCTTGACCTAACTTCTACAGCCTATTTCATTTTTGTCTTGCAATTTTAAGACAAAGCAGAATTTGAGTGGGATTCCTGCTAGGAATTCAGCAGTGCACTCTGTGTTTGCATCATGTTACTTTCAAGGATCTCAGCTGCAGTTTGTGGATCCAGGTGCCCAATTAATTGGAGTCTTATCAGCTTAGGTCAGGATGAAAAACTTGGAGCTTCAGAAAAACCCAAAATACCCACAGCCAAGCTGTCTAGGCCAAATACATGCATTTCCTGTGTCTCAAGCAGCATACAAAATATGCATCAGAACAGTTGCTTGTTTTTAAAGTTTCTCACCAGACGAAGGAAGGTTTGCAAAAGCTGGAGATGGTAAGGATGGTAGAGCGTAGACTGCTCCATACAATCATATGGATGTGGGTAAGGGTAGGGGAGGAAATAGATGTGCCCTGCAGGCCGAAGAGTCCCTTCTAGAAAAAAGAATTAAACTTGGGAATCCCAAGTCTTTGAATTTCTGTCTTGTCAGTAACTATCTGCACAGCCCATGTGGCAGATGAGATCTCTATTGCCTTAACAACATGACCTGTAGGGCAGCCACTGCTACTAATTGCATTTTCATCTCTGGTTGACAGAATCTGTGCTGGGGAGAATGTCAACCTGAATCTCCCTAGGTCCCCAGTAGGAGCTGTGCTGCAATATTTTTATCACCCCCACCCAATTCTTTGTGAAAGATTTAGTTTGTTTGCATCGTTTTTGAACAAGTCATAAAATGTAGGGATGTGCACACACTGGAAAAGGAATTGTGCTACTATTTTTTTTTTCCAAAATGTAGGATATATCAAGAACTTGGGATACTGTAAGAAGCTGAATCAGGTAGTTAAATAATCATATAACAGGATTCCTGGAAGTTGATCCTGGTCAAAGGAAATGATGCTGAGTTGCTGCCCTCGGAATAGGCAGCAACTGCCACGTGACTTAAACTTTGTGGGTGGACATTTAGGCTAACTTAAGTTTCACACTAGCTTTTTTAAATGGCCAGAGAGTGACATATGCTTGTGCACAATGCTTCCTTAATAGGTATCCTCGAACACTCTCTAATCACAAGCTGTTTGTGGAGAATACTGGAACCATTAAAATGGACTCTTAAGTTTACTGGGACCTTGTTTAAGCCAAAATGCAACTTAAACACATTAAGATCTAGTTCTGCAAACTACACTGGCAGATACTCAAAGCATTTGCAATCAGTGATGTTTAAGCAGTAATTGTACAGAATGTACTGAGGTATTATTGCACTGGTTCAAACTAACTTAGGAAAAAAAGGATGATTTAGCTGATCAGAATGGGGTGAGCTAGATTTATCCATTTGTCCTTGCAAGAAACTAAGTAGCTGAGAATCTCATATATTTCAAAAGCAACACATATGGTTATTGTACTGTTTAACTGTATTTCCTGTTTGAAACATTTTACAAGCTGTTTTTGTTTGGGTGTTTTTTTGTGGAAACAGATTGGAGTGGCATTTTATGAAATGCTTCTGAATGCTGATAGATATAGCCCACACCTGAACTACATGGATCCTATATGTGACTTCTTGTATCATATGAAGTACATGTTTACAGGTGACAGTGTGAAAGACCAAGTAAGTAAACAGTAGACATTAATACTTAGTTATCTTTTTTAATGACAATGTAGCAATTCAGTCTTTTTCTGAATTATCTTCATATGCAGCAGTACAACAAAGCCCTTAAGAGCTGACTAGTTTCTCTTCATACAAATTGGGAAGCTTGTACAGTTTTATACAGTTAAGTTTTAGATAAGTAAACTATCTCAGGTTACATGATTAATTTATGTGGTCTGCAATTTAAGGTGTAGCTTGAGAGTGCTTTAAGTACTAGTATTGAAACAACAACTAGAAAAGAAGCTGGATGTTTCAGAAGTTTTCCTCATTGCAATATGTACCTGGAGTTTTTTATTTAGCTTCTGCTGGTATAACCTGACCTCTGACAAAAGTGAAAATTTTCCATATTCAGTGAAAAAATCATTCACTTGATTTATTTTATAACTATAGGCAGCTTTTCTTTCTCTAAGTATGAGTTGTGTGAATTGTTTTTCAAAGCTCTGGTATTACTATTAGTCCAAGGAGGCTTTTTCTGGATAATTTACCAGAAAAGAACCAGAAGTTAACATGGTAAATAGCTTGTAAATACTGCTTTTTACTATATCTTTTTCCTTTTGTATTGTTGCAGTGTGATGTTACCTTCTGTAGTAAAATGTCAGAATGTTCCTTTTTATTAAATGTGTTTCTGCCCTTTTTTATTTGTATTTTACAGGTGGAGAAGATCATTTGCAACTTACGCCCCGCGCTGAAGCTTCGCCTGCGTTTCATCACGCACATCAGCAAGATGGAGTCGGCCGCGGCCGCCCAGCAGCCCCTCAGCAACGGGTCACCAGCACCACAGCCCAGCCAAGTGCCTGTCAACGTTGCCTTGCCAGTAACACAGTAAAAGGGGGTTTGGGGCTGGCCTTGGCGCCAAGGTTTCTGTTGTTTGTTTGTTTGTGTTTGTTTTTAACTGATCCAGGTGATCCGTCATCTGATATCTTGTGTTCTGTGTAACAGGGAAGAGAACTATGTACAGATCGATGTTTTGCTTTGTGTAATGAAGCTGTCTGATCATCTGCATGCCAGTCTTCCTCTCTATTTATATCAGACACTAGGTGAGGTAAATGCTGCCTTTCTCTGAAAGCACTGAGTAAAGATTCTCTGCAAGCAGTCAAGGAGGTGGGTTCCTAAAGAATTTAGTCTCCTGCTCCCTATATGGATTTTAGTGGGTTTTTTTTTTTTTTCCTTTCTTTTTTGTATAACATGAAGTGATACTTGGCCTGTGTAACCTGATACTGGCCTTTTTAAATTTGGCTTTTGCCTTATTGAAAAGTTTGTATTTTCTGTCCCCCAGAAGAATTTAAATAATTCTTGTCTTTTGGTGATGTAAGTTAAGCTCTTACACAGAAGAGTCCCTCAACAGGAACCTTACATCAGTGCAAGTGGATTAACTCCATCTCTCCAAAGACTGAGACTGACCCTTGGAAAAATTCTGTAGATTTGTGGTGTGCAGTTTACATTCAGCAAACGAGCAGTGGGTTTCAACTATCATGATTTACAAGGCTATTAGATTATTACCCAGAGGCTGTCTCTGTTGAAAATACATGTATTCAGTAAAGCTGTGCTGGCTGATATTTTATCTTTCCTATTTGGGAAATGGTGTAATTTTTATGAGGTCAATCTCAATTTTATTGATATCTTATTATACTTTAGATTTGTATAGTATCCTGCTTTCATTCTTTGTTTTAACCGTGTTCAGCA